CAGCTCACTTTAAACACATCCCTGAGCCTAACCCCACCGCTCCCAAGTAGCAATGTGACCTCCCTGCAATGTTTTTTGGGTGTGAAGGGGCAGAGGAGATAGAAATTCGGAGTTAAAATTAAAGTATTTTCAAGAACCTGAGAAGAAATCTAATTCAATCCCCTCATATTTCAGATGAAGAAACTAACGCCTGGAAACGTTAAGTGTCTTGCCTAAAATGACACAATCGGTTTGTGGGAGAAACTGTATTGGTCCAGAACACTGGTCCTCACTATTTAGGTTTTTCTCTATACCACACTACCTCCCTTGCCTCCACTGAATGAACTGTAACATTAAGTGAAGCTTGTTCTTTTTTGCTTTAAAGGAATGTAACCAGGAAACAGTAATGGCAGTTTACAGTAATGATCCTAAAATTCTTAAGATAAATAACTTGGAGTATTCATTAAATTATCAAGTTGGCACATTCAAGTTTCAAATATGCTTTATTCACATAAATCAAAGTATTACAAAGTCAATACAAAAAGGATTTAAGTGACCTTAGTGGGGGTTTTTTTAACATAGGCAAAAAACTACAATAGAAAAGATATGAAGTAAACCAAAGATAAATACAAGGCCTCTGGATGTAGACACCTTCACCGTGACCAACAAACACACTGATAAGAAAGAACACGTTTCCAGAAAAAAGAACTTGGGGGGAAGGAACTGAGGGGAGGCTACATAAAGGCCTAGGCTCAAATACAGCCTTTAGCACATGCAGTTTAATTTACAGCATGAAAGAGCTTGGTTTATTCATTCACAATATTTATTAAAGTACTTACTATGTGCCAGAACCTGGAGATTGTGCTTTAGTAGTAGGCCAATAATCAAGCAAACACAGAAACAAGCTCGTTGCAGTCTGTGAACTGATAGGGAGAAAAAAATAAACAGGGCAATGTGAGAGCGTCTGGGGAGTCTACAGGAGGTATAAGGTCAAAGAAGGTGCTCTAAGGAGTTCTGATCTGGGAAAGAGGAAGTACAAAGTCTGGTTCCAATTAACCTTCCAACTAAAACCTTTAGAATTCTTTTCTGACCAGAATCTTGGGAGTAGCCACTAAATTCCTTATTCTTAGCCTCCTCAGTACAAACCAATGAGAATGAGAGAGATTTCAAACCCCAGCATGGAATGGTCTGGTTTGGAGAAATCATCCAAAGTGAACAGAAGGAAACCCACAAGCAAAGAAAGCTTTGTGTTCCCCTTTCTTATGAGAATGACGGTTGCTGTTTGGTAATATGCAAGAACAGTAATGATTTAATATGGTGATCTTTACACAGAAAAGTGTATTCTTATTGGCATTTTCTAATATGAAGGGAGCAGTGGAAAGATGGGGTGTGAAATAAGTCTAGGTAGCAATGCACTGGCATGTTAACGTATAATTGTTAATAAGCATTTTAAATATAATTTTTATAATCTTAAAGAACACAAACATATCAGAAACAAAGAATATGGGGAAACTGTTTTCCTTATTTTTGTATTTATTACAGGACTTAACGTCCCCACTCCAATTTGCAAGATCTTTGGAGATCTGTAAATCTCCAAAGATCTGTTCTAAGTTTTACTACATCACTTGCTAAATAGCAAACAGCAAACAACTAGATATTTAAGCAAATTTTCAGTGGTTTCTCCCTACCCATGACAAATATATTAGTCCAACATTGCAACCAGGGACAAGTAAAGACAATCAGTGAATATTTGAACTAGAACACTCTCACTATAAACATAAAGTGAAGCACAAAGAGAACTGACTACCCAACAGCAAACAAAAGGGAGAAATTAGGCATCCAGATTCTCAGCCCAGGATTCCAATGTTTTCCAAAAACGAGAAACAAATTCAACTTAATAGTTTGCAACTGGCACTTGTTTAAAAAACAAGATAAAATAGACACCATCAGAGTAGACTGTACATACTATAGATTCTGTTTTGTGAAACCTTTCAATTTATATATATGTGTGTCTGTGTTTTTCATACACAGATATACACTTGCACACACAGAGTTATATATCTATGGAGTCTTGATATAAAGACTTGCTATAGGTGGTGGTCAACATTTTTAAAAACACTGCATTTCACACTGACTGTCTTGAAATACTTCCTTGTATTTTTATGTAAACATTGCAATAGCAACATTAAAAACATTAATGGATGGGCTTGCTGGTGTGGCTCAGCGGTTGAGCATCGACCTATGATCCAGGAGATCAAGGTTTGATTCTGGATCAAGGCTCATGCCCAGGTTTCGGGCTCGATCCCCAGCAGGGGACGTGCAGGAGGCGTGATCAATGACTCATCATTGATGTTTCTATCTCTCTCTCCCTCTCCCTTCCTCTCTCTGAAATCAATAAAAATATATTTTAAAAAAATTAATGGATGGCTAATCCTACCTTAAAAATCTCTCCATCAAATCCCATTTCTGCATTTATTCGGCATTCTGCTTCAAGTACTGTTATGGCTACAGCTAAAGCAACTAACTACCCAAAGCAATAGAAGCAGCCCTCTCACTCAGCCAAAGGTACTACAAGAATCACTGCCTGTTAGTCTCCTAAGAAATTTACAGCTAGAGAGGCAGATATTTATTACAAAAAGGACACAGTATGCTCACCAGAGCTCAGAGGTTCAGAGAGTTCTTTCCAAAAAAGGCTCAGAAACAAATCCTCCACAGATTTGATCTCGCCCGGAATGTAATTTCAGGGGGAAAGGGCATTCCTAAATGCCCTAAATTACTAAAATAGTTTCTCTACATAATATTGCCTAAGGCTAATATGGGGGGGGGGTAACACGGGACACAGTCACTCACTCCTAATTAGATGTAAGATTTAAAATGTGAGTTGGCTTGAGAGAAGCTATACTAATATTCCAGCTGAGATACAGAAATATCATATCTAAAGATATCAGATCATTTTTAGACAGCATATTTGGGAGAGGGAAGAGAAGACTCTAGCACTGAAGAGTAAAAGGACAGAAAAACACGGGTAAAGTAAGTCAGGATTAAGAATAGAAAAATGTTAAGGCAAAAGGGAAACTACTCAATCATTACGCCATTGTAAAAGTTTAATCTAATATATATTATGCAGTACTAGATACTTCAGTCACAGTTTGACCTGCCCACAGCCTCAGCCAATCATGTTTTGTGCCACATGACCCCACCTCCCCTTCCACAGCTGACTGGCATTGGGCACCTTTGCCTGAGGCCTGGGACTAAAAGAGGCCCTTAAGAAAACCAGGATATTGAGAGAGGAGCAAAAAGGGAAAGAATTCACAAAAAGAAACAATGAAGTTGGATTAGGGGATTGACGAACCAGAGTTATAAAGAAGCAGGCATAACAGGTAAACTGAGGCTATGAGTAAAAGAAAACAGATACATACAGCAGTGAGGAAGAGAACTACGCATGTCAACAATGCAGAGGAAGCATATGCAGCTTACGAAAAAGACAGGTGACTGGTCAGTAGAGATTCTTGTTTGTGGCAGCTTTCTAGATCTTTCATGTGTATCCCCTTCCTCAAGGTGGAAATATACCCCTAAGACACAAATAAGTGACTAAAAAGGTTTACATCCATTTTTTTCCACATTAAAGAAGATGTCTAAAAACCCTTATCATTAAAAATCTGAGCTAGAAGAGTCCTTGGAATCAGACCAATTCTCTATTTTAGAGAGCAGGAAATTGAGGACCACAAAGGAACTGAAGGTCGCACAGATAGTGGCAGAGCTGGAACAAGAACCAAGGTCTCCTATTTCTGTAGTCATTACCCTCTGTCCTATACTGTTCTAAATAACACCAACATAGAAACATTTTTTATTCAAAAGAAGTATTTTTGCCACACATTTTTAAACGAATCAGCAACCTTTATGTGCATAAGCCATCTCCCATCGTTAAATTTTCCACTTATATATTCTCTAGCTCTCTGTTATCTTTATGAAATAGATTCATTAGATTTCTCCCTTTCTACTAAAAAAACTGTTTTAATACATCTGTCACTAAAGACATTACACAGATAATTCATCAGACCCCTCTGGCTTTTCCCCACTATAATTGTACATTCAAACACAGCATCACTCAGGACATATTATTTCACATACTGCACAGTAGTGTTTGAACTCAAAGTAGTACAAAACAGACATTTTAAATGAAAATAAATTTTTTTAACTAAGGACCATAACGATTTCTTTGAAGAAACACTCATCACCA